AAATTGGAGTTCATAGAAGTCATACTTCTAGTAGGACTTGGATTGAGTATATTATAAAAGAGAGGCACCCCCGTGGGTCTAAGGTATGCAATTTATGTTTTGAGTATTAAGTTTTGCACTTGATTATCTTTGAGAGATATACTGACTTGATCGTCGGAGTGCCCCAGGGTGGAAGAACCACCGCCGGAACCTTTTCTTTCTGTTACAGGTTACTGAAGCCATCTATTCTGCCTGTGCTCTCTAGTTGGTTACTAAGCAGGCAGTGTGGTCAGATTTTCATCCACACATAAATGTAATATTTTAGTTCTATCATATTAAAAATATTAAATTATATATATTATATATATTTAATAAATAAAATCTCCACCCCACTTCCTCATTGGGACCAGCGGGTGTCATTCCTAACTATCACTTTTATTGATGTGCTTCAAGATTGAAGACAATTTTTTGGTTGCCATTTAAAAAATAAAAAATAAAAAAAATTACGCATTTTCTTTATCACTAGATACAAAGACACGAATCTCATGTATATTTACCAATATGGATTCTACTACCTTTATATATAGTGTTAAAAAAAATATGGTGGAGAAATCAATTTATATATATAGAATCACTACAACAAAAATAACCTATAGTAACGAAAACTAGTGAAAAAAATAAATTCCGTCACTAAATAAGAATGATTTGTGAGAAATTTATAAAATTTGTCACATATAATAAAAAAAATAAAAATAATAGGTGACAAAATTTATTTTTGTCAATAAATACTTCCTTTTAGGTGAGGAAAAATTAAGTTTCGTCATCAAAAATTTTCCCGCTAATTTTTTTGGGTGGCGCCAAAATTTTGAGACTTTTAGTGAGAAAAAAAATTGTCAATAATTATAAAATTATTTGTGAGGAATATATTTTCGTCATTAATAATTTTTTATATTTTTGGATTCTTTTAGTGAGGAAATAATATTGTCACTAATTTTAGTGGAAAAATTTTGATGTATTGAGCAGGAAAATTTTTTTTAAAAAACAGGGTATTAATTTTTTTTACCCCTTTTCTATTTATCATCTCTCTCTCAAAATAGGGTTTTAATTTTTGTTTTGCCTCTTTTCTGTTTTGCCTCTTTTTTTGTTTATCAACTCTCTCTCTCTCTCTCTCTCTCTCTCTATCAAAACAGACGCACGTAATACCTCTCCACCATAGCCTCTCCGCCGTTGCTCTTTGCCCTTACTACTCCACCTTCAACGCCTACACTACAGTCGGCGCTTCTTGTACAAACAGGGCTCCACTCTCTGCATCAAACCCAGGTTCCTTTTTTCTCTATTTTTTTTTCTTGTATTGTATCGATTTAATTGAGTTACAATTAGGGCACTCAGATAGTCACAACCTCACCACCATCATCAACCAACACAGCCGAATAGTCCTTAAAAGTACAGTAAAATTTCTGAGAAGCAAGAATGATCGATTCACACAGCGCATTTTCCCACCGGTCAAACACTAATTTGGGTATAATGAGACGACACGACTCGGGCTGCAAAACCCCTTCACAATTCAATTATGGACGCTTCACCATCGATATATTCTCTTAAATTTTCACTGCGACATGTTTGGCAATGTAGTCTGAGCAAAACAAATGGGTACAACTAGTGTTGTTTTCAAACATTTCTGATTTTATGGGTTTTCAATCTTCACAAATTTATTTGAACAACATAATATGGCTTTATTGTTGATTTGGATAAAAATTTGCTATTTTATTTTAACAAAAAATTCGTAAATATATTTGGGTTTACTTTATTTGAGTTAAGAAAGTGAAAGACATTGATATTGTTAATGTACACTACACCTAACCCACTAACCTAACCCACTACATCCCCCCATTAAACCTAACACACTTACCATCTCCACTACCACCCACCACCTCCACTACCATCCACTACCACCACTCACTTACCTCACACCTCTCCTATATAATAGCTTGTAACATACATATCAATACATCAATCTTGTAATAACAATCACAATCAATAACAATCAATAATACATAAATTCTTACAGATATTGTGAGTACGATGAAACGAAAATGAAAGAAAATGATGAAGATTTGAGGAAGAGAACAGAGAGAAAGAGAGAGTTGAATTTTGCTCTGGTTTCATTCTGTTCTTTGAAGAGGAAGACAGATTTTATCCTGTGTGGGTGCTGGAACTTTCACTTTGACTGTCACTACTGTAGTAAAAGTGTGGCCTTACTTATGTCTATATCTATCACAAGCAAGTTTGAATCTTTCTTGCTCTTTGGATATCTATCTGTTTAGGTGGTTTATGATTGTTAGTTATTGTTGTTGGATATCAATTATGAAGATTAACAACTCTTTTAGATATGTGCTGTGGAATTGTTGTTAGTGTATTGGTTGGTTCTTTTTTTTTTTTTGGAATTTCTCTTGTAAATATTTTTATTGTGAATATATATATATATATATATATATGGTGACGAAAATTAGTAGAGAAAACAAATTTCATCCTAAAAAAACTGTAGGTGAATATGGAAGAAACAAAAGACTTTCCAGGACTAGTTTTGAGAAATCCAAAAGAAAAGAGGCCATTCAAGTGGAGTACCCTTCTCCGGATGAGATACTCTCACAACTCTCTGTGTCTACTAGAGATCTAATGAAAAACAACTTGTTGCTTTCTAGTGTTAGTTTTTTCTCCAATTTCAGGAATTCATTGTGCCTAGAGAATTTCATTTCACAAGAACACAAAAAATTAACCAAGAAAGTGTCTGGCAAGCATATTAGGAAAAAATTATCTAAATCGGAAACTACAGAAACATCTAGGGTTGAGGTTATGGAAGACTCTTATTGGACTGACATGATTGTTCAAAGCAACACCGAAGAAGAGCAAATACTAGTTAAACCTGAGGTCCCAAACAAAAAGAGTGCCCCCACTATTGAACCAGAAGCAACTCTTGACTTGCGTATACAATTGGATTATAAACAGGAAATTACTGTTGTGGATTGTCAATTGGAGGGAAAATCAGCAGGTGACATGGATGAGATATTTAGCTGCTATGTTCACTAATTTTGAACTTCACTGACTTGGAGTCTGTCCCTTCTGAATCAATTCTCAATGAGATATTTAGCCACTATGGACCTTTGAATGAATCAGTTATCGAGGTCATGAAGAAGAGCAAACGTGCTAAAGTGGTCTTCAAAAGGCGTTCTGATGCTGAAATAGCTTTCAGCAGTATTGGAAAATTTAGCATTTTTGGGCTTTCACTAGTCAATTACCGCCTTAATTACTCATCTTCTACACTGTGTAAAACTTCTACTTCTGCCACAAAGCGAGACAGAAAGGGTGCAACATCTGTGGAATGAAATACTGCTTGATAATTGATGCAGATCAGTTTAGGTATTCACATGACACATTGGTATTGCACTTCATTTCTATGTTCGTCTTTTTAGGAAACGCATTTCCCCATTGGGTACATATTTGTTACTGGACAATTGTATGCAAATAGGTAGGATGGAGCATTCAACTTAGTTATCCATTTAGACATCCTTAGAATCCTGACTCGTCGATATTTTCTAACCATGTTTATTCATTTTGATTTCACTGTAAAAAAGAGTTTTGACTTTTTTAGTTGTTTATGTGCGTTTTGTAAATATTTTCTGCCTTGAGGATTTTTATAGACCATTATATTGAGAACTTCAGAAGCTTGGATTGCTTTCTTTCTAAATGGTTTCCTATGATGAAATGTTTAGATAGTCTGGTACAAAGTAGTTAGGCTGGAGACGGATTTATTTCAAATTTGGTAGCTACCTTGCAATTGCTTGGTGAATGGAGTGCTTTACTAGGAAATAAGACTGGCAGAATATTTGGTTTCTTGATTAATGTTTCATTTATGACCAGACTGCTTGATGACAATGAAATTTAGTGGCCTTTGATATACCTTGCCCTTGATGACTTGCCAGAAATTCTTATATAATTTGTTTGTTATAGTTTCAACCTTTTATGGTAATTTACAGATTTCATTGTGGCTTTTGTGATGGGGAATTATATTGAACCACTTTATATTCACACTCGTTAACACTTAATGGCTGATTTCTTGGTTCCAGTTTTTGCAACCGTTCTCAAAATACCCCAATTTTTTTTATCATTTTTTAATGCACTATGTTCATTTATTTATACACTGCATTATCTCAAAAGCTGAGTAGCAGCTGATAATTGAAAAAAAAAAAAAATCAGACAAGCGCAAATGGGGGCCAACTTCCAGAGTTGCCATGTGTTTACAAATCCACACACTTTAATGATGTCACAAAGTAGTGGATTTCTCCGGAGTGCGAAAAGAATTATGTATGTATATTTAGCTTTTGTGTTAGGATGATTTCAATTTTATTGTATCTTTATTCACTTTTCTATTTTTTTTTAAATGATAGGATAATATGATAAAGATCCAAACTGAACATTACTCCCAACGTGGTATGGTTCCAATTACTCCAGAGGAGCTATCTGTGAAGGCCCTCAAGTGAAGGTTGGGATATGTTAAAGGACTTGGGTTGAGGCCTTCCTTCTCTGTCAGGACTACCAGTGCTTTGACTGACAGTGACTATCTGAGGCATCTAGAGATGGAAATACAAGAGCAAAATGAGGAAATTCAGTCACAAAAAGAGGAAACATGAAATTCAAGCACAAAAAAAAAGCAATGCAAGCACAAAATAGTGTGATAGGGAAGATGAATGAGTCGCTTGAGGGGAATTTTGAGATGACATCAAGCATCATGGAGTTTCTTAAGAAGCAAGGTTTCAAAGGACAATTTAGAGGAGGAGGTATCCCATGAATTTGTAGATCACCATTTTGGTAAGTCTTGCTTGTTTTATGTTTTTATTTTTCTAATGTTGGTTAGTATATACTAGTTAAAGCACAACAGTTTCACTAATTATTAACTAAGATTTAACAAGTTTGAAGATGTATTTAATTAAGATAGATTCATTAGTTACTTCTTACTTAGCATGACCCTTGTTAAATTACATACTAACCAAAGTAGAGTCAAAACTTTGTGTATTTTTGCTAGGCAATGTTGGAGTTGCTCTAAGTTAGTAACATAATTTATAGGAGCTTTCCACGTGCAAAGGAACTTCTGGTTGTTAAGCTAGACTCGTTGTGTACACAATTTGTATTGACATGGATAGAGAGGTCTATACAATGTAATTAATAATATGTTAGTGTTTTTCTTGTTTATTTTCTTTGCAGATCGGTTTTTGATGACGTTTAGAAGCATACTTGCAAATCAAGAAATTCCTGAACTGATACTTAGTTCTAGTTGCAAATCAAGATCAAGTGTTGATTTTTTTTTGTGGACTCCACGTTAGTTCATTTTGGGATTTGCTTTGATAATTTTTCTGTTATACTTAATGGATTATTATTAAAGTTGTTTGATGGATATATTTTAATTTAGGAAAATGTTTTAGGGCCACAATTTTTGTGGCCACAATGGCTCAAAACTGTCAAAACGACGTCGTTTTGAGTGCAAAACATGCCAAAATGACGTCGTTTTGGCAGTTTTGAGCCATTGTGGCCACAAAAATTGTGGCCCTCTAGCATTGTTATTTAATTTACAATATAAATTGTTTAGTGAATTTTTTTCTGGAGTGGTGTATAATAAGCAGTGGATTTCTTAGTACATTTAAAAGGCTATTGGGATATGAGTAGGGATATTTGTGAAATACTAATTTAAATTGAAATATAAAATATGGAACAAGTTTAGTGACGAATTTGTTTCATCATTTGTACTTTATTATTATGACAAAGTGATTATTCGTCGCTAATAAATATTTTTTGTGACAAAATTTATTGCAGCTTATATATGAAAGTTTACATTGATTTTGTTGTATGGTGACAAAAAATTTTGTCACGTGTATATATTTTGGAGTTTTCTTAAGTGTGCAAGTGCACACCATGTGCCACTTACACAAAAAGTGTAAGTGTAAGGTGTAAGTATAAGTATAAGGTGTAAGTGTAAGGTGTAAGGTGTAAGTGGGTTGCACATGGTGTGCAACCTCAAAAAAGGTGTAAGTGTAAGGTTTAATTTTTTACAAAAGGTGTAAGTGTAAGGTGTAAGTGTAAGGTATAAGGTGTAAGGTGTAAGTTGCACACCATAACCAAACCCATATATTTTTGTCACGAAATATATTTCGTCACGTCTGTATGACTTTTGGAGATGAAAATTTTCATCAACTTTACATCTTACTGTGACAAAATTATTTCGTCATCAATGATCAACATGTGTGGCAAATTTATTTGTCAACTAAAGTTATAAATATGCTACTGAATAACTATTTGGTGATGAAAATGACGATTTTTTGTGACAAAATATTGTTTTATTGGTGACAAAAAATTTCGTCATTGAAGTAATTTCATTGGTGACAAATTTATTTTTCGTCATGGTGGTTTTTAGTGAAAAACATTCAAAGACCAAACCGATGAGGAAAATATTTCCTCACAAATATCTTTAGTGACGAAATTAGCTCTTTGGAGGCAAAAAAAAAATCGTCATTCAAGACCCAACTTGTTGTAGTGAATGACTCAATAATTTTTATTTATTTAATTTATTTGTTTACATATTGGAAATATAATAGTTAATTTTTGAATCACATGGCAATTTAATTTGTTAACAATCAAGCCCCTACTTGTCTGGTTGACTCTTGATGGAATCACTTTACCTTCACTCCTCTAGCACCATTGTTTTGGATATAAAAATTATTGATCTCCAATCTTACTAATTTTCTCAACATTAAATTATGACTTTTACTAGCTATTATTTACTCTAACTAACCAAGTTATAGTTTTATATTTGATTTCCTTTTATTAACTTATTTTGACATTTAAAAATATATTTATTTAAAACTTAATGCTTGTCCATTTTACATTTGTTGATTGTTGCATGCATGTGCTTAATGTATGTTTAGCAGTAGAAGAAGTACAAGAGAAGCATCCCCCCAATAGTTAAAACACGAAAATGGGATAGTCCAATGTTATCTAATCATCTCAAATTTACAACATTAAAAGAAATATTATGAAATCTTAGAGTATGATGTAACGTTGTTTAGTTGGTAACAAATGTGAATTAAGATTGTTCCAATTGTAAAAAATTTTGTTATGTCATTAGTTAAGAGTATTGTGGGTGTTGATTTCCGACCACACTACCAAACAGGTACTCAGCTGGAGAACACCGACAGAATAGATTGCGCCCGAACGACCTGTCACAGAAAGATAAGACTCCGGTAGTGGTTCGTCCACCCGGGGGCACTCCGACGATCAAGTCTGTACTCAATTATCTCTCAAAGTTAGCAAATAGTGCTTATACTCACTAGTCAGAATACAAAAAACGTACCTTAGACCCATGAGGGTGCATTACTTTTATAGTCAGCACTAACTTGATCCCTGCAAAAGCCTAGCTTCCCTTGGACTCTGGCCCAATGCTCATCCTGGACTCTCCCGTAGATAAAGATAAACTCCCTAAGAGCTTTATCCTTATCCAAGCTAAGGTCCTTCCCCATTCTATGACTCTTATAGCTTATCTATTTATCTTGGATTCCAGTATCTGCGCAGATAACCTCGGCCTAGCCGAGATCATCTCGGTGTCATGACCAGAACATGTGGCACCTCGGCTGGCACTTCGGTGCCACCTTGGCCACGTGTTGTTATTCAAGAAATATGTCCCCACAACAGCCCCCTAGGTTCTATTACCTCGGCATCCTGAGGTGATGAAACCTATATCATTTGACCATGTAGCATGTCGGCTAAGATTGCTCTATTCTTCATTACCGAGGTCATTACACATCGGCTCTATATGACCAAGACTTCAGTGTGTTTTGTCAATGCTTTAGAACCAAGAGCCAAGTTTTTCAAGTTCCTTGACCGAGATCGTTCCCGTAGCCGAGGTCTTTGCTTCATTAAATCAAGAACTCCAAGAGTTTCTACACGCGTATGAGCTGTCACACACAGTAACTCAACCATTTTTGCCACGCGATTTTTCCCTATTGAACCGTACCTGACACGTGCCATCAGGTCACGTCGCTTCTGCACACGCCGCCTGACAGACACGTCGTCCTAGGCACACTAATTACGGTTTTGCCGCCTTTTCGTGTTTTGGTCAAAAACACCTCTCTCTCTCTCTCTCTGTGTTTTCACCTTTGCACCCTCGTTCTTTCCAAGATTTCAAGTTTTTCTCTCTCTAAAAATCCCCTACCTCAATTGCTGCCTTCTTCGAGCTTCCTGCAACCACTTCGTTCACCTCCTCCGACGAAGTATTTGTTGTTCTTTTTTGCTCACTGCCACCGTCTGACTTCGGCGTACTTAATACCGGCCTCATTTTCTTTGGTAAGTCACTGTGTCCCTCCTTTCAGTTTTGACTTCAAACTTTGTTGTTTTTGTACACTGCTTTCGTGGATGCATTCACATTCTTGAATAAATTTTGTTCGTGTTTTGAATTCCATCACTTTGCGTACAAAAGCATGCTTTGTTTGGGGAATTTTATTTGTTCAATCTGCTTTTGATTCACGGTCCTTATGCACACATATGCACTGTTTTCACATGCCTCGATGTTCTTGATAGTTCATCACTATTCTTGATTTTTTTGCTACCTTCTTGAGCCTGAATCATACTTTTTGTCCTGTTTTCTATGTCTTTTTTTCCAGATTCTTGTCTCCAATTCTTGCTTCCTTAGTCTTAGGCTTGGGATTTGCTCTAGAAACTTGATCTTTAGGAAAAACCGAACCAAAAACCCTTTAGATTTTCAGAAAAATTTACCTCAGTACTTGCTTAGGTTGTAGCTGAGGTCCCTCAAACCTATACAAACCATTTTCTTCTGAAGTCTCTCACCTTGCCCCTCTTAGCCGATATCATGGGCATGTTTAGGTGAAGGGTAGACACCCTAGAGAAGCTTGAATACTTTAGGCAAGAGTTCTCTATCCCTGCCGACGTTCATCTTAGGTTGGCTGGGGAGGGGGACTCTATCATGCCCAAAGACAATTCCATGCCTTTCCCAGTAGTAGCCTTCATTGAGTGCGAACTTAGGTTCCCTCTTGACATCCTATTTCGCCAAGTCCTTCACTACTATAAACTTAACCCGATGCAATTGGACATTAACTCTTATATAGTCATAAACAGTATAATTGCCTTAGCCAACAAAGAGAATGCTAGGATTACTCTAGCCGACATTCAATATTGTTATACCATGTGTGGCTTGAAGTTAGAAAAGGGCTACATCTATTTCCTTAAGCCGAGGTCCACAGAATACAAACTGATTGCTGACCTCCCAGACTCCAACAAGGGTGCTGGAGGCGATTATTTCATCGTCTCAGGTAACTGGGAATTCCCACCATATGATGTCCTTCACCTCTACCCCTTAAGCCGAACAGTATTCAGAAAGGGAAATGGTAAGAGCGAAGTGTTACTTTACTTGCTTTCAAGCCTTTATTATTTTGATACGTTACTTGCTTTCAAGCCTTTACTGAGGCGTCGGCTTACGATCTGGCCAACCCACCAACTGCACTTCCAGTGATCCACTTCGGTACTAAAGTCACTATCGCCATTGCCGCTGACGAGATGGATCGCAAAAAGGCTGTTGCAGATGACTTTCTAGCCGACATCCCCAATGTCGTCATAGTTCAATCTTCGTCTTCTCAGTCCCAGCCAAAACCAAAGCCAAAGAGGCTGAAGAAGGCCTAAGCAAAGGCAACGATGACTCAGATCGATTCTGAGGACACCTTGCCGATTTCAAAATTGGCCGAGGGCGAGAAGAGTTCCTCCGTCGCCGAGAAGAGGCCTGCTGAGGACGACCTCTCTAAATCTACCAGGTCAAAGAAGCCGAGGTCAGACTCTGCAACCACCTCGGATTCATTTAAGGCTGATGACCCTTGGGCCCCATCCATTACGATCAAGGATAAACTAGTTAGGACTGGTGATAGTGCTATTGACATTGAGTTCAGTGTTGCCCTCTCAACTGCATTTCTCCTTTCAAATGACCTCAATCGTATGGCCAAGATCAGCGAATATGAAAACTTCGCTCTGATGGTGCAGCATTTTGTACTGGTAAACTCTTAACACTTGGTACTCTCCATTCTCTATTTTTATACTCAAAGAATTTACTAACTCTGTTCTTTGCATTTCTTCTAGGCAATCCAATATGCCCACTCATTTGCGATGCAGGCAGAGGGAATGAAGAAGGAACTGGTCCACAAGACCAAGGAGGCTGTTGGTTTGCTCAAGTTGTTGAACAAAGCCGAGGCCAAAATGAAATCCTTGAT